CGAACATTTAAGCCGTGTCCTGCTCGTTTCGGTGCACTTTTTTGAACTTATGAAAAAAAAAAACTGCTGAGCTAAAGCACTTTGGCAAACAACAGAAGGTCCACCCCAAGGTGCTGCGCTCATCCAGAGCGCCGCAAGAAAGCTGAGCGTTCACAGAGCTTTGGAAAATAAATGACCGACGCTGTGTGATGTTTTAGAAGGCGATCCACCCACACTTTCTTTTAAGGCTGAAACGATAATAACAGATATATCCCCACACTAATTGCAAGCATTGTCCAAGCGCAAATCTCCAGCGTCAGTTCGAGCGCTAATGGTCACCTGCTCGGCGGGTCCAACTCCTCAGAGAGTTCAGAGCGAGTCCGTCCCAGAATATTCTTAAAAATATATGTGTGCGGAAAGTCCTTCTTTGTCAAAAGGCCAGATCGGATCAAAACAGTTGATCCGAGGGCCTGGAAGCTCGCAGTGAACCGCTGTCTTGAAGCATGAATGAGACTCTCTGCCGGGATAGAGCGTGGAGGAGGGGCCTTAGTGCCATATGGGGGACCGATTGTTGAAATGGATGCTCTCATTGGTGTAAAGTGCATCCGTTGTTTGGACTTCTGCCAGATTCAGCATCCAACCAGTGACTCTTGCTGCAAACTTTATGCACTCTAAGTTCAACTATATGATGATATGGTGATAATATGAGGAAAAAAACGACATTTTACTCATTTTAAAGCAGAAACTATACGTATAAGTCTTTAATATAATTCTTATATTATTTGCTATGTAATCGAAATGAAAGGTCCTCTTTGTGTGTGCATGGGTGTCGGGGGGTTGGGGGCTTTACAATCAATATTATTCACATTAGGCTATTCAACCTCCAAAAAATGTTAACAAAAGCTTATATTTTCTTCACAAAATGGTTAGTGTTTATATTTGTTCATCTCTGGATGTTATATAAAAGTCACTTGTTAAGATGTGGATTTAAATGACCCTGTACAGCCTGGGCTACTGCCCTGAATAGTCTGTACAGCAAATCCTGTTTGGTCTTCATTCAAGTCAGAATTTAACACAAGTGCGCTCTCGACAGGCGCGTATTCAGCAGCTCGACCGTCTGCTTCTTTGAACGCAGTGATTCCGCTGAGGAGGCATCGCATCAGTGTCAGCCGCAACAATGGCCGTCTGGTTGGTCCATCAATCTCAGCCAGCAGCAGACTGGGCTGCACTCTGATTGGCGTGTGGACCGCTGCCTGACAGTGCCCGAAATTAGTTCTTAATCAATACAGCAGAGCGTCTAATCAAATCCAAACTGATCATGAAGTCAGTTGCAAAGAACGCTGATAAAACGTTATTTGGCAAGTGATCTAGAAAATAATGTAACGAGTGGATATAATTTTGGACACAGTTTGACAAAGTCTCTTTTGCTGCTGATTTGTATAATTTCATTGCTTAGAAGGCTCTTGTGAAACTGGGCATGGTGTTGCAATAAACCCCAAAAGTGTACAAGCCCAAGAAGAATGTCTGCTGTTTTTCTTAACAATGTAAATCCATGAGCTCTACATTTAATATTAATATTTACGTAAATATTTTTGTTTAAATTGTTTTCAGAGTCTAAACGGATCTCTGTTAGGCCAAGGCTACATCATTGCAGACCAAAAAATAATTTCCGCTCCTGTTCATCTGGCGATGAAAAGGAAAGTTTTTTTTTCCATCCCCGGTTCCTTGCCCCTTACCGATACTATTGTCTCTGTGTGGAGTTTGTGCGCCTGGACAATGAATGTAAATCGCCCCCCTTGGATCCCGCCTCAACCCACCATCTGCCAGCGCGGGACAAAGTCAGATGTTCCCCCAATTATGAGAGCAGTCTTGGGGAATCCTGCTGCCCAGTCTCCGCCCTGTCGCCGTGTCCCTCACACACTTCCCTTAACATGATTGACAGCTCTACTTAACCATGAAAAATCTGTATATGATGACACACTTTAATAAAATTCCTCTACTCGAAGCAAAACTTGTAGGCGAATGTGAAATGCAGGGATGCGCTCTTTAAAACACGATGCTTGCATGGATTTATTGGTTCCTTGAATGTTCTACATTGCAGCCCTTGCAGACACGGGATTGGTTTCAGTGCATTGGTCCAAAACTGCAGCCAATCGACCCAGAATGGTTGAATAACCTATGCTCAGGAAATCAAAGCTCCTGACGCCCTGAAGTAACCTAAAGGGAAAATAATAATTTCAAACTTTCCTGAAGCCTCCAATTGGGGCACTAGTCGTCAGCATACTTTATAGGCTAGAAGAAATCATCTGAGTCACCAAACAGTTTTATTAGGCATAAGTCATTATTCAATCAATCAAATTTCTGATAAATTATCATCACATGAGAATGTGATGTTAAGCATTAAATTTGGTCATGTGTGCACCCAAATGAAATTTTATAGAGCAATATGTGTATTTATTTCAGGAGACAGTTAGGCTGCATTTTTTTGCCAACAAAAGACAGTAATCACAATTATTAATGGAGGATGTATCGTTAAAAAAGCCCCATTCCAGTTAATATCTTACAATCTTCACCTATACATTTTTAGATTATATTGCTATAGCCTATATTAATAATTTAATAGCCTATAGGGGGATTTTGATTGTAGCCTGTTGTTAAGACCAAACTTGCTGAAAGTTGTACGCGGAAATAGAAATAGAATGTAACGAATAGAAACGATGACTAGAAAAATCTCCTTTCACAGGCTATCCACATTGTGTGTTTTGCACTTGGTTTCATGTCGCGGACCAGCTTGTCTCCTCTTCAGACCCACAGGTGCGAGAGGCTCGGCCGTGATTATCACAACCCGCAAGACTTGCTGTCTAAATGTGTGGCTTTTCTAATTTGGTGAAGCGAGAGCCGGAGCGAAAATGGGGGATTAGTCAAACCACAAACGTCTTTCTAATCAATTTAACCCGCTGAGACGGTCAGACCGTGTGTCGTAGGGAGGAGGTGAGCTAAGGGGAGGGGGGATCAGTGACTGCTAAACCAAACAATGGGGTATCGTGTGCCGCTCGTCCTCTCCAGCATTCCCCTGCTCCCATGGGACACCCAGAGCCACTCTCTGTGGATGGCACCGTGTCCACGGAGGTCAGGAGGGGCGTGGTGTGTGTGTGCGTGCGTGAGGGGGGGCAGCAGCTGGTTCCCGTCCCTCCTCTCCACTGTATAGAAAACAACAGAGCTAACGCGACCCACCACGTCTCCTATCGATCGTCATACATTGCACACACCTTTTTTTGTTTACTTATTTAGGCAAAGATGCAGATCCCCTGGGGAGTGTCGGAATCCGCAATTAAGGCGAAATGACTTCTTTAGCCCTCATTTCTATCAAAAAACATCATCTGCTAAAGGTTTAACAAACGTTTGGATTCCATACAGGGTCTGTTGTGATTTAGAGTTAAAGAAAAATATATGTAGTGTGATCAATTTAAGAATTAATAGAGAAAATCTTGTAAGGGTCACTGATGGAGTAAAACTGTCACAGCTGTTCAAAACTACTGTGATCCTCCATATTACTGCTTATTTTGGGAAATCATCTTTGGTTTTCTGCTGAAATGGGTCTATGATATCAATACAGTTTACCTTTAACATCTGCTCAGCACAGTATTCCAAACACTGAATTACCCTCAACCTTTCAGCTTCACTGCAAATGTATTGATGGCATTTGAATCTTCCCTTTTATTTAAGTGTCCCAGTTTGCTGGTTAGTTGTGTGATAGCCTATTCTTTTTTTATGCCTAGCCCATATGAACTTAAAAAAACATTAACAATGCTGTTGTGAAGTGGTTAAACATATCAAACAAGAGCAGAGCTGCTTACATATAACATTATGATATAAACAAATAGCTTTGGCTTATATCCCAGTGAAAGTCAGCATGCACAATATGGAATGCAGCTATCATTAGCTAATTAATGTTTATCATGTGGTTTTGCTATGTCCTGTCACAATGTCTGCTGTGAAAAAAAAAGTTTAATTGTTGAGATTAGTTGTTTTAAACCATTAAAAAATTAACAGTTATTTGATACACAGTGATGGCTCTTTCCTTTTCCATGATGAAGCTCGTCCTGGCTTCAAGGAGCCAATTGTTTGCATTCAACAACTGTAATATGAAAGTTACTTTACTTATAGGGTGAACACAAAATGTGTTCTACAAAAAAAGTTTTTCGTTGGTTCTTCAAATATAAAAGGATGTCTCACCTTCAAGTGACGAAGAGCTGAGCATGAATTCACTCTTACATATTAACTCATAGTGCATCCTGGCTTGTAGCAACGCAGATGTGCTGCAGGTAAAATCCACCTAAACTTGCTTCATTATTGTATCTATTTGCTAAATGTTTTACCTGTTCTCAGGCTGACATCTTTTTGGCATAGTGTAAATCCTTTGTACAGTAAATCCTTTGTTCCAAAAGATAACTGAATGATTATCTTTATCTATTATCTGACTGCAGGATTTGTTATTACTAATAAAAAGAAAGGGATCGCATTGCACTCCTGCAGAGGATGAATAACCCACTAACTTCTGAACTGAGTTTCTCCCAACTGGGTCTTTCCAATCAATATAAAGAGGTTCAGGGGAAACAAAGTTTTTGAAATTAAGATATTGTAGGTATAAAATAAATAAATATCCCTTATGAACACTCTTTCACTTAATCCAGCTAAGTGATCATCTTATTATCTTTGTTTTAAATGAAACTATGACAAAGTTTAAGCCGGCATGTTTAAAGACAAAAATGTTATGATTTGTTTAGATTGTTTTTGCATGATACTATAGGCCACATCTACAAATCAACAATTCAATTTGAGAACCAGCATTATGTCCTGTATGCAGTGAATTAAGTGTAATTCATCCACACATCAGGGATGTGCCCTCCTTCATGTCTTTAAAGAACTGTATGTCAGTGCCATCTACTGGTCTGGTTAAGAACATCACAAACTGGGGTTTCATAGGTCTGCAAACAAATATGTTAGCATCAACTGTTGTTCTATATCATCATAGATTTCATTCAGAGGCAGAGGTCCATCTGCACAACAATCACTTATTAATGTCACTCAAACCCAAACAAAAGTGTGTTCCAGAGATTGCAGCTCTTGAAGTTGTAGTCTGAAAGGTGTGTGTGGGGGGGTGGGGGGTGGAATTGCATGTACACCTTTTTATAAAAGGGGTCAATTTAGACAACAAAATGAATTCATTCAAAAGACAATTAAAATATTGCATATCAAGTCAGGTAGTGTTCATGGTCTTCACATTTTTCAGTATACAGTTAAATTATACAACAGAATATGTAGAAGAAGCTTTGCCCTTTTTTTGCATCACTACTGCAGCCATTATGAACAGTCTCTTCATTTGATACAAAGCTTCAGGGGCTGGGGACTGAGTGCAGAATCAGCTATCCGTTACAGTTCTGAACACAGCTGAACTGGAACCCATTAACACCGGTATGTTCACAGGTAAAATACCATGTCCTGATGTCACAGCCGTTATGTTAATTGCAGATGAAGGTGAGGGGTATGTTGGTTTTGGGGTAGTTGTTGCCTAATCGTACAATGAAAGGAACTTTCTCCACGGTGCCAGGAGGACCTCTTAGACAATATGGTCCTCTGGATCCTGTGTGAAAAAAGACAGGGGTTCAATCAAACCAAGAGAAGTATTGGGCTGGTGTAATCACGGTGCTCCTTGTACAGATGGGCAAATCGGTAGCCAATTGTGGTGAACCCACTGGAGATGCTGGGGTCCACGTCTTCATCACAACCAGGGTAGGTGCTTGGCATTGACCAACAATATGGAGTAAGTTGTCTCTGAAAGTGGGACTATATGCAAGTTTTTCAATGAAATTAATAAAATTTTCATTACCTTATTGTCAATGGGCTCAAAACTCACTTGTAAATGAAGCACACGCCTGTTTTCTCTGTTGCTTGCATCAGCCACTATTCTGCTTTTAATGTGGGGTCTCCGGGTCGGATTCAGCCCTGTGCGCGCTCCCGAGCCTCTCTCACTACAGCGACAACACGGCAGCTAACGACATGCAGTCCACTAACACCATAAAACAACCGTCTCACAGCAAAACAGATTCCACGTAAGGATACAAAACAATAAAGTTTTGTGCTGAAATCCATCAGACCAAACAGGTTCAGATGATGTCGAGTAAGAACAAAGTGAGCATTAGTAAAACTGGAGAAACAAAGAGAGCAGTTGCTTATGTTATCCGGTGCAAAGTTATATCGCTTTCCATATTACTTTAACAACTAACGCGACCCATGTTACTTTCCTGTATACCACTGTTGATTTAGCCTGCAAGAAAGGATGTAACTAGTGATGTGTCCGTCCGTATCGAGGCTTCGAAGCGTGTGTCGAGTAATGCAGGATGGTTTTTGTGAAGCGCGTATCGAGGCTTGTGTTGATGACGTATGTGGTGACGTTCGTGACCGATTCAGGAGATGTTTGCGGGTTTGGTCTGCGATTTGAAAGGAGCAGCAAAATGCAATGGACCCTCTTCAACATTTTGTGGACTTTTCAACTTGAAATTGAACACAATTAGATTTTATCTACAGCTCATTTTAAATGGCTAAAAAAGTTGATCAACTTATGTCAGAATTGCTTTGATCAATTAACTTCAAAATACATTTTGTGGCTTTGGTAAGAATTAAACTCTTACCCCATATTACCCAAATAATAATTTTCTAAAGCAGGTAAAATCATCTCCAAAAAAGGAAGAGTCACACACCAAAGCCATGTTGCCGTTATAATCACTCTGCCTGTTTTACATTTGTTGTCCACTTGATGGCACAGTAGAGCAAATGAAGCACCGTGAAGCTTCGGCCCATGAGTGAACCAACTGGATGGAAAGCTTCAAGGCTTCACAAAGCTTCATCTCGCCATCACTAGATGTAACGGCAAAAAGCAAATGTGGAGTGATTTGTTTACTAACGTTAGCCTATAGTGATGCAACGAGCTAATGCTACGGTAGCTCGGACCTGCCGCTGTTTGCTTCGTAACGTTCACTTTATGTTTATTGTGGTTTTACTCAGGTACACAGCTTCTCCACCTCTCAGTTGCTGTAACTAACGTGACCCACATAATATAAAACACTGAAACAAAACGGTCACAACAACACAGAGGAAGGAAGAGCCATCCACTAATACTAGTTACAGTTAAGTTACTTATTGCGGTCTAACTGTTATAAAGTGTGACACAATCGCATTATAATATCCAGTCCAGTTCACTAACCGTTTCATCATCAAATACATGTAGCTGTGCTGACATTGCTGAGCATCCGGTGAAAGATACACAGATGGTAAAGATGGTTAACGTTACTGAAAGGCAGCCGGCGAGCTAACGCTGTAACGTTAGCACGTCGGCTAAATGCAAAAAAATGTAACAACGAGCGTGGATTAGTTCAACCTGCAGCTGATAAAACTATTACTGTAACGTTGCAGTGGGAGTTCACCTGAATTTCCAGCTCTGTTTGTTCTCCCTGTCTGTCTATAGCTGCTGTCACTCTGCCTTTTTTCAGGAGTATTGTGCCAATATGTGGCTCGCTGCGCTGAATGAGAGGTACGCCGCCGGTGTTGAGCTGCCTCTGAGACGGGAACGTCTGGAGAAAAGCGGATAATGCTCGCTCATGAGTCCAAGCGAGCACATGTACGAGCACACACCTGGTTGCAATCTTAGAACCGCACCGCTAGTGGCCGCTGGAAACTCCATAATGCCCCTTTAAGACAAAAAACTCACTAAGTTAACTGAACCACATGAGGACAAACCATCCAAGATTTCTGCAATCCATGCAGGGAAAACACTTTATAGCCTGGAAGTATTCTCCCATGACCCTTAAACGCCTCCTGGTAGAATCTCTCTCTGTTCATGTGAGGACTGAGTTAGGCCAGAGCGTGTACTTTGAACAGTCTGTATAAAGAAGCCCAACCTATGTTGTTGTTGCGCTAGTCACCTTGAAATTTACATAAAATGAGGAAGAAAATACTGTCAGCCCTGTGCAGTGCTTGGAATGTACCTACCACCTTTAAGGATTGTAGGTCAGCGTTTTGTTCTGCAAGCTCAGGTGGCACATGTTGGCGCCCATGGTGGTGAAAGACAGGAGCTCATGGCCGTTGTCATTATGCTGTGTGTTGACCTGCAACAGGCCCTTATGAAGGGAGTTCCCAAAGGAAGCAAGCTTTGATATCCACTGAAGCCTACACCTGGGTGAGTTGCTGCCAAAGCCGGGGTCTTGCCTGGGAATCTGTTTAGATGATAAGAATCAGTTAGCATTCACTATGTGAGTGTTTGTGTGTTTTTGCTTTAGATGTATTCATGTCTCTTCTCATGTAATGTAATGACAATGAGGGAGCACAGCTCTTGTCACAGTCAATACCGTTACTGAATGAGCGGATTACAGGAGAGTGAGGAGAGAAGGTCAGATTGAGGTCAGGAAAGGATGCAGGCAATGAGCACACGTGTGGTTATTTGCAGTGTAGCCAGTAAAGATGGTGTTCTGAAGTATAGTACCAAGGGGAGAATTTGACTGTTCATGGTAAAACATGTGTTGGAGGATTCCAGGTGGCAAGGTAAGAAAAATAAATCCATTATTGTACTCTGTTCGTCTTCTCAGTTTATACAATTACTTTCACAGCACTTTGCATTTATTGAATGTTTTTTTATTGAGCAAAAGGAAATATAGGGAAACGGGTAGGTGGAAAACATGGCTGTGCAGGGGTCCACACCTATTTTCATTTTTTGTGATATGAAATTAAAGATTGCCATTTAATAGCATGCCTTACCTCATCTGTTGTTGCAGGCGCTGCTTGCAGTGCAAAACTTGTCTAAATTGGGAGTTAAACAAACAAAACAATTATGTTTAATTTACTTTCTGGTCTGTTAATACTGGTGTCTTTGGTCTATGCATTTTGGACAATATCATTTTAGGTTTCACTTATGCCACTCAATCACAGAATTTTACTAAAACAAACATGTGCATTTCTTTGACATCTGATAAACAGTGAGAATTGCAGTAGGATGACATTTAAACCAGCTAAATAATGAATGCAACTAAAACAATTTGTAGCTATTCTAAGAAAGATGATGTGTGAGGTAGTACTCTACAGCAGTCAGCGATATCGCAAGCTCAGATAAAGACGTTTTGGCACAGAAACAGACTTATGTCAGCAAAAAGGACAATTTTCTCCATTCACATAAACCAGTCAAATAATTAAGTTATACAGGTGAAACTCAAAAAGTTAGGATATCGTGCAAAAGTTCATTTATTTCAGTAATTCAACTGAAAAGGTGAAACTAATATTATATAGGACTCATTACATGCAAGAAGTGAGATATTTTAAGCCTTTGATATAATTTCGATGATTATTGCGTACAGCTTATGAAAACCCCAAATTCAAAATCTCAGAAAATTAGAATATTACATGAATTAATTTTTTTTTTAAAGGATTTTAAATACAGAAATGTCAGTCCTCTGAAAAGTATAATCATGCATATGTACTCAGTACTTGGTTTGGGCCCCTTTTGCATGAATTACTGCCTCAGTGCGGCGTAGGCATGGATGCGATCAGCCTGTGGCACTGCTGAGGTGTTATGGAAGACCAGGATGCTTCAATAGCGGCCTTCAGCTCTTCTGCATTGTTCGGTCTCATGTCTTTCATCTTTCTCTTGGCAATGCCCCATAGATTCTCTATGGGGTTCAGGTCAGGCGAGTTTGCTGACCAATCAAGCACAGTAATCCTATGGTCATTGAACCAGGTTTTGGTACTTTTGGCAGTGCGGGCAGGTGCCAAGTCCTGCTGGAAAATGAAGTCAGCATCTCCATAAAGCTCGTCTGCTGAAGGAAGCATAAAGTGCTCTAAAATGTCCTGGTAGACGGCTGCGCTGACTCTGGACTTAATAAAGCACAGTGGACCAACACCATAAGATGACATGGCTCCCCAAACCAACACAGACTGTGGAAACTTCACACTGGACTTCAAGCATCTTGGATTGTGTGCCTCTCCATTCTTCCTCCGGACTCTGGGACCTTGGTTTCCAAATGAGATGCAAAATTTGCTCTCATCAGAAAAGAGACTTTGAACCACTGAGAAACAGACCAGTTCTTTTTTTCCTTTAGCCCAGGTAAGTTTGTTGTTCAGGACTTGACAAGAGGAATACAACATTTGAAGCCCATGTCCAGGACCTGTCTGTGTGTGGTGGCTCTTGATGCAGTAACTCCAGCCTCAGTCCACTCCTTGTGAAGCCCCCCGCCCCCCCAAATTTGAATGGCCTTTACCTGACAATCCTACAGGCTACAGTCATCCCTGCTGCCTGTGCACCTTTTTCTTCCACACTTTTCCCTTCCACTTAACTTTCTATTAATGTGCCTTGATACAGCACTTTGAGAACATCCAACTTCTTTTGCAATTACCTTTTGAGGCTTTCCCTCCTTGTGGAGGGTGTCAATGATGGCTTTCTGCACAACTGTCAGGTCAGCAGTCTTCCCCATGATTGTGAATTCCACTGAACCAGACTGAGAGACCAATTAAAGGCTCAGGAACCGTTTGCAGGTGTTTTGGATTAATTCGTTGATTAGAGTGTGATACTTTGAGCCTACAATACTGAACCTTTTCACAATATTCTAATTTTCTGAGATTTTGAATTTGGGGTTTTCATAATCATCGAAATTATATCAAATAAAGGCTTGAAATATGTCACTTTGAGTCTATATATTAGTTTCACCTTTTAAGTTGAATTACTGAAATAAATGAACTTTTGCACGATATGCAAATTTTTCGAGTTTCACCTGTAAAGCCTAATATCTCCAAATTTTCATCAAAACAAATACTTGGAAATATAATGCAAAAACAATACAATACATTCTAATACATTATTATTGACAATAGCATATTACCATAGCCAAAGTGTAAAGTGTATTAAATAGTATGGAAAGTCAAAAAGTAGGAAAGTAATGTGTGGAAAAGGTAAAGCTTCCAGCGTGAACTTCCAGGTGCTTTGTGAAGCCAATGCTGTGTTCATGATCATTCAGGTCAGCTTTTTGTGTAGGGCAGCGACTTCTTCATTTGACCCAACATTTGCTGTCAGGTATTTATCTGAATACATTTTATTCTTATTAGTTGCCCCTCCCTGGCGTCCGTGTTAAGCAACGTTTCCCAAGTGTAGGCCTGCAAAGAGCTGCACGGTGAGGAACACTTTCACCAAAGGTGAGTGTGGGTACAACCTGAACGTTAATATGGTTAGGTACGGCTATCATTTTAGAGGCCTAGTTTATTCACAGCTATAAAGAGAAAATTATTAGGTAGAATAATAACGCAACACATTGAAAAACATTTTGATGAACCCGAGAGAAAAAATCATCTCAAATAATTGTTGTCCTTTTATTTTTTCGTCACTTTCGTTTTCTTTTGTTTGCTTGTTAATTATCTTCTCTGTAAATTCTGCATCTATGAACAAAAATGTTTTTTGATATAAAATGTAGGCTAATAATAATTGTATAGCCCACGTTTCATATAGACCTATCACCTCGGGTTGGTGTACCGCAGCGCTACATCTACAGAAATTACTCTCACCGAGTCTCTTTAATACAGCCTTCTATTTTATAAATTTTGTTTAACATAAAGTTAAGTCCTGTTATTATCTGTTATTTCCTTATCTCATTTTCATTTTAACCTTTACTTTATAGCCTAACCATTTTTCCCGTCACGTGTTTGACTGATGATTGAAGCCACTCAATGGTTTGGATCTCTGAATTGCGTGACAAACAAAAAGTAGGCTACAAAGAACTTCAATGGAAAAAAAAAACTTTTGTGTTTTCCTATTGACCCTTAATATAACCTACTGACTGTCTGTAAACCTTTAAAAATCTGAGTATTTGTTAACGCTCACTTTTTAATCTGCTCAGTTTAAAAATGCTGTGTAGCTATAGCCTACTGATAAAATTAAGAGGATTCCAGTTTTTTTTTAATCAACGAAAAGCAAAGTTTCCTTCGTTTATTGGATTCAAAAATGTCTGGAACAAAAATGACCCTTACATGATCAGTAAAACAAAACAAATTCACTTTCTCTCTATGTAACCGCATGTTATGTCCCATAAAATTTCCAAGCAAAAATTTGGCTTATGCAATACACAATTTTGTTATTTTCTTTGCCAAAAGCGAAATGATTCTATTTTATTTATATAGGCTATTGGCAGATATATTTAATTTACACAACTACACATATTTTACACGAGTTTCTTGTTTCATTCTGTAGCGCTAAAGGCACAAGGCGACAATGCGGCCCGTCATTGTAATTTAATGACGCTCCACATATAGCCTTGCGCGCGCGCGCGCACACACACACACACACACACACACACACACACACACACACACACACACACACGTTGAATGTGAAATGTGCATTTACACACGCAATGATAAATTTAAAGATACGAATGAATCCTACAGGCCTGGGAGAGTGCGTGAGTGCGCGTTATTGTGCATGTTGGCTCACTGTCCTGGCATGCTGCGTCTCACATTAATATTTGTGTGATTTTATTAGTGAGCAAGACAGACGCAGGTCTACCTTCACCAAGTTTAATGACGCTCTTGTACTAACTCTTCATCTTTTGTAGGAACGTTGCCTGTTTTTCTTCGTAAGAAAAATGCCATGATGTTGGACTTTGTGTTTATATTACTTTGCCTTTCTTTTATATAACGTTCGGGTTTCAGACAGGACTCTAACATTTGAAGGAATTTCGAAGCTGTATGTGGTCTTTTGAATCCTTCTTTACATTTAAGTTAAAGTCCATAAGTTGTGAGAAAAAAGCCATACCATATCAATCTACAGTAATAGCAAGTAAAGAAACCATGGTTAATTTGTCAGGCAGGTGTCAGTACACTTGCAGTCTGTGGCTATAAGGTGTGGTAGGTGTGTAGAACTACTGTGTATGTCTTAATGTTGCCTTAAAACCCCCTTAGATTAGTCCATGCAGTAATTTGCATTCAACAGTTGTGCTACTGAGCTTGTTGGGCTTTGATCATAGTGGGTGAGAGGGATATTTGTTACTGTTTTGGTGATTTATTTGAGGGGTCACCTCACCTTTGAGAGCCAAGTGGTGGAGAATTTAGCATAAATTCACTCCCATCTAATAACTCAAATTCTATCTTTTGTTGCTGTTTCATTTGGTATCAGTTTTCAGTTTACCTTCAGTACTGTAAATCCAGAATATGAGTTTACGTTTAGCTGAGAGATGTGACCACATGCCAAACTGGACTGCCTCATACATATATAAAAGTATAGCATTTAAAATCATTTAGGCTAAGTATATATAAAGTACGCATTTTTGTCTCCTAATTTATAGTTTCAAGTTCACTCAGATAAAATTTGGCCTCAAGAAAGATCAAGTTGAACAGTGGATCAACTTATTTTGATTTTACTAGTACATATATTATATATTATTTTATTACATGTTATGGAGTTAGGGGTTAGGGTTACAAAATTGTCTAAACCAAACCAGTGTGACTGTATGCTGTGTAGTACATTTACTTTGTCTTGGTTCAGTTTTGCACAGTACACCAGAGAGTCATAGTTATTCAGAGTAACACTCATGTATAATGTACACCACATAATTTTTAATGCACATCTTGTGATATACATTTTTTAGAAATCATCAGACAGTTCATATTCATTTTCCAGTCTCCTCAATCACATTTTAAAGTGAGCTTTAAAGAGACAAAACATCTAGCAATCATTTGGCTTTTCAGGAATTAATCAAAGAAAAAATTGCAGCTGTCTTTAGTCAGACCGCTGCAGTGAGGATTTCTACTGAACATTCTCCCTCCATGGACTGAGGTCAGAGGCAGGGATGTTCCTACATTTAGTGTAATAGGGTTTCTGGGCCAGTATTGAAGGAGCTGGCCCATCGGCGATACCAGTGTTGTTACAGATCATGCAGGCTGACATCTGCTTTAGGGACACCCTCTGAGCCACAGCAAAGACTCCCTTGTTCTCCCATCAAAGTCTGAAATTGGCAGTTTGTGAATATTTAAAAGTTCTCCAAACACGGCTGTCTGTACATGTCAGTCTGTAACGTAATTTCCGGTCTGCTTCTTGTCTGCTTACTGGTCTCCCTGGCGGATCTTCTGGAACTGAGTTGCAATCAGGCAGCCAACCAGGGGTCCCACTCTTCCTCCACGGGCTCAGCTTCTCATCCTAACCACACATCGATGTTGTCAGGTGTGCCGTAGAAATCCAGCAGGCTCTTTGCCAGTTTACTATGTTTGAGCTCTTTTGCCAGCTGTTTCTCATCTTGTGGTTGTGTCAGCCCACAGAACCTCCCCCATTTGTTTTAGCATAAAAAGGGACATATATTGTGAAAATGGTGCAATGTTGAAGATAATGTAGAGATCCAAGACAGAAAACAAATAGAAAGGCTAAATCGGAGTAGTACAAGGGAGTCCATGGTCTCTTCCCCTCTGTATGTTGAGTGAGGCGAGCTCAAGCTCCTCCTTGTACCGCTCATTAAGATTAAACATGGAAGGCCGAACAATCAGATGGGTAAATCGGTAGGCAGCTGTGGTGAACACATCGGAAATGCTGGGGTCCACGTCTTCATCATAACCCTGGTAGATGGACAGCTGCTCGGCAATGAAGTCTGGACCAACGATATGGAGTAAGTAGTCTCTGAAAGTGAGACCTATGAAACAAAAAATAATCCAGTGATTTGAATATTAAGCTAAGCACTGTATAATGCTTGCAGTGAGACTCACACTTTGCTGCAACTCACCAGCCAGAAAGCAGAGCACCTCCTCTGCATTCACGTTATTAGTAAGCTTGGATGGCACATGTTTCATGGTGGTGAAGGACAGGAGCTCACGGCCGTTGTCATCATACTGTGTGTTGACATTCAGCCGGCCCTTATCTGAGGTGAGGTCCCAAAGGAAACGAGCTTTGGTATCCGCTGAAGCGTACACCTGGCCCACATCAATGGAAGCTATGAGAGAGTTTTCATCTGCTGTTATTGCTAGCACCAAAGATGTGGCCCGTGTTGTCAGAACCACAAGCTGCTGCTGAGCAAAACAAGCGGTGGTCTTGACCGTGAATTTTCTTGTGCAATGCAACAACACTGACCTTTTATACAACCACAAGTGTCCTGGTCATTTATAGAGTAGCCAGTAAAGATGATATTCTGGAGTATATTACCAAAGGGAAAATTTGACTGTTGACTTTCAGCTCAGGATCCCAGGCTTGAGCAAGGACATTTTATCCTGGTACACAGCAGGGAGCCAACGTGTGAAAGGTGTGTTGGAGGATCCCCCTGTTTTTTCCAGGCAAGAAAAAAATAAATCCTTTATTTTTCTTTCTCTTTGTTTTGCACATGGGTGTATTTTTCATAGTTTTCTAAAGGAATGTCTGTACTCACACTATCCACTTCCATTTTGAACATCTTTAACTGTGAAATCAAAGGATGACAGAGAAAGAGCTGGTAGGAAAATCCTTGCAAAGAAGAAATTTAAGCAGTCAGTTAGCTGTGGATGTGTTTGTCACATGTTTTTTTTGTTTTTCCTGGTTTGCCCATTAAGCTTTAACTTGGTAACTCATCTGTTGTTGCAGACACTGCTTGCAGTGCCAAACTTATTTAAATTGGGAATTGTCACGCAAGAAGGGACATGATGCTGAGGAGAGCAGCCTGTCAGATCAGCAAATAACCTCCAGACCCTCCTCAGAGATCAGATCTAATTAACAGCAGCAAGGAATAGGCATCTTAGCTGTGACTTGAAGTGTGAAAGTAAAATGGTATGAATCATTAGTTTTATAATTTATTACTTCTATTAGCCTTTGTCTCTCTCCTACCATGCTCCCCACAACAGAAGACACCTGTATGGAAAGTTCAAAGAATCTATTTTGGATACTGTGGCACTGATGGAGCGACGTCTTTCCAAAAACTTCTTGGTCAGTTTCAGAGCATTATCGATGTAGTGGGCAGCACACATTAGCTGCTTCAACAACAACAGGACACCTGAAGGATTAGCTGCATACCTCTCCACATGTTCAGTACTCCTGTGTTGCGTGGAGAGGTCAGATTTATGAGCACTTAGATGCAAACATTCATGTTGTGCCATATGTTTTTCTATCCCTGCAGAACTGTATACAATTAATTTGATAAAGGGTAATACTCACTAGCATTCACGTGACTTTGCAAACACGGGTTAAGACCTGCAGATATCAGTCGTAAAAAACACTTAATCTCTGCATACAAACACTGTCCTGTTATTTACACACCTTTTCTGACTTTTCTTTCAAATAGCTATATACAAGAGGGTATGTTTGTCTGAATGTGAACTACATATGTTATTCACAACTGTGAATAAACACTCTATGAATGTAAAAAAAGATTTAGACAAGAAGCTTGACCATAGTACATGTGATGTCCTGGAAGTCCCAGTTTGGTCCACTTGCTGCAGAATATTTCAACACACCACCAACAAAACACAGTGACATCAGTGACATATTATTTAATAGTTAGTGAAGGACACTCAGGTTTCTCTGTGTAAAATTATATCAAACAAACTAAGTGGGACTCTTTCACAGTCAGTTTAGCAGCCATGTCATAATCCTAATATCCACCTACCTATAATACATCTCTGGTAAAAAGAAAAAATGCAGTTCGCTTAGCCCGATATCAATGTTTTAGTAGCAAACAGACCATCTATCATATTATTAGTAGTAGTAGTAGCAGTAGTATTTTACATAATAATAATAATAATATTATAAATCTATTTTCCATCTGATATTTGGAAAGCAGTATGAATATGTATTGCTTGAAATATTTCTCATTCCAAAAAAAAACAACTTGTGATTTAGGTAAACACAATGGACTTTCTATAGTCATGCTGAACAAACATTCGCTAACAATGTTCCATTAAATCAGTCAGATATGCCACGTTAAAACAACTTCCTGGTTTGGAGGCATCTTTAGAAACACATCATTTTCTACCAGTCAAGGAGACAGAAACAAGTTCCTAAACTAAAGATAAAGATAAAAAACCTCCCTTGATTTCTGAATGTCACAAGGAGCAATCTGGTCTGGTGCAGGGAGAACACACAACACAGCCATCTAAAGCTGCATAACAGCTTTGATCTACACAGTTTTATAGAATAGTTTGCCCACAATGATGAAATATGTAGGCTACATTTTATAATGTGTTTATATATTTTTTTATTTTTGAATTTTTTCTCCCTATTGTATTTTATTCTTATTTTTTTGTCTTAATGAGAATGCCACGTTGCATTTGAGAACACATTGGTTCTATAGGCCGATGTGACTAATAAAACTCCCAGTCTTTAAGTATTGAATCTAAAAGGGAGTGACACATAGGACTGTACTCATCTGACTTCTGACTTTTTTCAAGAAACCTGCAGCAGGGAATAGACTGTGCTTGAAAACAAGTTCAACCACAGTCTATTCTGTATGTTCTGCTGCCATCTATTGGTCCCTTCAGAAGCATTCACGAGCCCTTTTTCAGCATGCATTAGTTGTGGACTTAATTTCAGTACAAGAACTACAAATAACTTCAGGCATATTCCTTTTTGTTTAGACCTTAGACTACAGACACTCTGTGGTTTAAACATTCGGTTTTCAGATACAGTGAGGAAAATAAGTATTTGAACACCCTGCAATTTTGCAAGTTCTCCCACTTGGAAATCATGAAGGGTTCTGAAATTGTCATCTAGGTGCATGTCCACTGTGAGAGACATAATCTAAAAAAATAAAAAATCCAGAAATCACAATGTATGATTTTTTAACTATTTATTTGTATGATACAGCTGCAAATATGTATTTGAACACCTGAGAAAATCAATGTTAATATTTGGTACAGTAGCCTTTGTTTGCAGTTACAGAGGTCAAACGTTTCCTGTAGTTTTTCACCAGGTTTGCACACACTGCAGGAGGGATTTTGGGCCACTCCTCCACACAGATCTTCTCTAGATCAGTCAGGTTTCTGGGCTGTTGCTGAGAAACACGGAGTTTGAGCTCCCTCCAAAGATTCTCTATTGGGTTTAGGTCTGGAGACTGGCTAGGCCACGCCAGAACCTTGATATGCCTCTTACAGAGCCACTCCTTGGTTATCCTGGCTGTGTGCTTCGGGTCATTGTCATGTTGGAAAACCCGGCCTCAACCCATCTTCAATGCTCTAACTGAGGGAAGGAGGTTGTTCCCCAAAATCTCGCAATACATGGCCCCGGTCATCCTCTCTTTAATACAGTGCAGTCGCCCTGTCCCATGTGCAGAAAAACACCCCCAAAGCATGATGCTACCACCCCCATGCTTCACAGTAGGGATGGTGTTCTTGGGATGGTACTCATCATTCTTCTTCCTCCAAACACGGTTAGTGGAATTATGACCAAAAAGTTCTGTTTTGGTCTCATCTGACCACATGATTTCTCCCATGACTCCTCTGGATCATCCAAATGGTCATTGGCAAACTGAAGACGGGCCTTGACATGTGCTGGTTTAAGCAGGGGAACCTTCCGTGCCATGCATGATTTCAAACCATGACGTCTTAGTGTATTACCAACAGTAACCTTGGAAACGGTGGTCCCAGCTCTTTTCAGGTCATTGACCAGCTCCTCCCGTGTAGTTCTGGGCTGATTTCTCATCTTTCTTAGGATCATTGAGACCCCACGAGGTGAGATCTTGCATGGAGCCCCAGTCCGAGGGAGACTGACAGTCATGTTTAGCTTCTTCCATTTTCTAATGATTGCTCCAACAGTGGACCTTTTTTCACCAAGCTGCTTGGCAATTTCCCCGTAGCCCTTTCCAGCCTTGTGGAGGTGTACAATTTTGTCTCTAGTGTCTTTGGACAGCTCTTTGGTCTTGGCCATGTTAGTAGTTGGATTCTTACTGATTGTATGGGGTGGACAGGTGTCTTTATGCAGCTAACGACCTCAAACAGGTGCATCTAATTTAGGATAATAAATGGAGTGGAGGTGGACATTTTGAAGGCAGACTAACAGGTCTTTGAGAGTCAGAATTCTAGCTGATAGACAGGTGTTCAAATACATATTTGCAGCTGTATCATACAAAGAAATAGTTAAAAAATCATACATTGTGATTTCTGGATTTTTGTTTTTAGATTATGTCTCTCACAGTGGACATGCACCTACGACGACAATTTCAGACCCCTCCATGATTTCTAAGTGGGAGAACTTGCAAAATAGCAGGGTGTTCAAATACTTATTTTCCTCACTGTATGTGCAGCAAGAAGTCAAACACCTAAAACAACCTGACAGGCTCTCCGTAAATTTATACATAGCCCTCATACAAAGTAGTAAAACTAGTGTACTGTATACGTATGTTTTGTCAATATTATTTTTTAATATAAATCAAATTTGATACAGTTAAGCTTTATAACTGCACATATTGGTCGCAGTTTATCTAACTGGAGCCTATATATTTAATTAACAATGCAGTAGAAGCATAACTAGGAAGTTCAGAGATTTACAGCGTAGCCTTTAATAGTTGACATCACGGACATACTTGTCAAAATTATTTGCTCCACCGCGCCTGCGCATTACGTCTGCAGTTCTGATTGGGGGCGACTATCAACCTGTATTTCCGGTGCGACCCAAATAACAGCGTTGATGTCACTGCAGACAAAATAATTTGCGCTTCACATCGCTTTGTGCTCCTTCACATCATGTCAGCATCTGGCTTTCTCCTGGTGGTCCTCGCGGTGTCTCTGTGGCCCGGTAAGATGAAGATTTACTGACAACGACTCTAATGTCGACATCGCTCTCACCGAGTCGCCATTAATTCTGTATTCAAAGGTTATAATATTTTTATCGTGGGGGTTTTTGACAGTTTAAAATCAGTGCACTAAATGGGATGCAGCTGTATTCTGACCGATGCTGAAATATTAACATTTTTACACCTATTTAAAATGTCCCTTTTCTCTCCCCAACACCGTCTGAATCATTTCTCTTTCTGTCTGGCGGTTTACAGGAGACTCCAGGTTCATCACAGACCCTTTGTCATTCATCGAAGACGAATCCCTGGTAAGTCTGACTTCTTCTATCAAATTTGTCAATACACCAATATATGGTGTTCTTTCAAAAAGAATACACACACAGACCTACTGTACTTACAGATACTGAACTGTATTAACTGTATTATTAAGTCTAAGTCACATCTTTTTGCGTGTGTGTGTGTTTTAAAATAGTCAATGCATTTATTAATTAGAGGTGAAGTTGTTGCCACCTACATCTATCTTAAAAGGTGCACACAGTGAGCTTCCAATCTGCAAAGTAAAGGAAAACACTAATGTCTCTTGCTTTATGTTTGGATTACATTTATGGACATGAATGTCTTCAGGCCTGAATAATTATTTCACTGTTGCTTCTCCTTATTAGACTTTGGATATCTGTTCAGAATGCAGCCAGATTGTCCAGCTGTCCGCCAACATGATTTCCAGCAGAGATACGAAGGTGAGTATGTTGGGTGACTCACACACTGCACATTTTGACTTTACTTTCACTACACTTCACTTTACTTTCACTTCACTTTACTGTATTGATCTCACAGCACTGGGCTTGGCGAATTGGTTCATAAGGAAAGTAGCAGCCATTCCCAGCAGCTGCGATTTTTGTAATGTCTTAAAAAGTCAAACCTAAAATGGACGTTTTTAAGGTTGCCTTGTAAGCTAATTCCAATATTCAAATGCCAGGGCGTTGAAATGTGACTTTGATCGCAATTGGACTTTGCAGAAAAAAGTGTGTAGAAAAACATAATTAAACACCCAGTATTCTTGGCACAGCATACAGTGCACTAACTACTGTGCTTTTGCAGGAGAATGTATATGAAACCTTGCATGCTCTGTGCCAACGCCTCCCAGGAGAGCAGGCATCAGAGTGTGATTCACATGTGAAGATGTATTTGCCAAAAGTCCTGCAGCAAACACCTGGTCATCTGGTGAGTTTAGCCACTGTTTAGGCTTCTTCACAAGAATAAACCCTTTGGCCTTCAATGATCACCTTTAATGCAAGATAATGTGTTTTTGTAGAAACCAGGAGAGACCTGTATGGGTTTTGGACTTTGTGCTGCCCACAACAATGAGGATCTACTGAAACTTACCCACCATGGCACCAACAAAGACACATCCATCTCTGCACTCGGCACAGCCACCCGCACCCATGTGAGTATGTGAAAGCAGAAGTGAATGTTAAAATGCAAGAGTTGAAATGAAACTTGTGGTTTATATTTTTCGACTATAAATGGCCCTCAATCCTCCCTCTAGGAGCAGTTCAACCCAGCTTGCACCCTGTGTTTGTTTATCATCAAGAAACTGGAGACCCTGTTGCCACAAAATATGACCGAGGTGATTCTTCTTATTTTTTTTGGATCACTTTGCATTACTTCAGGCACGTATTCCTCACCATACGTCACATCACGTAAATGTCGCCGTCTTCTCTTTCTTGCCCTGCAGGATGCTTTAAAGAAACTCATGGAAGAGGTCTGCGATCTTGTGCCACAGAGCTACAAGGAGCGATGTGATGATTTCGTTGAAAAATACGGCGTGCAGATAGTCGAATTCCTCTTATCGTCTGCAGCTCCTCATACAATATGCACTCTATTGCATCTTTGTTTGTTCAAAGAGCAGCTTGTTCCAGGTCAGTCACATGTTTATAATGAATACAGTTGGGTATTTTTTATTGGTTTGAGCTGAACTTCACACTTCCACCACCAAGTTAACACTCTGCTGATTACTCAGAGGTGTCCCTCCCCTCGGACTGTGAGTCATGCCGCACGCTGGCTGTGCTGAGCCGACTCCACCAAGGTCCTAACTCCACCGAACCTCAGACGACTTCTTTCCTCCAGTCTGTGTGTGTCCATCACCCCAATGCCATCCCCAAGGTCTGACACTAAATATCCTCCCACTAACATAATCCTTCACAAATCATATCACACAATCAAAACATATTTTGTCTGTATCCAAAAGTAAAGTGATTTAAGCGTTTTTTTTAATCACATAGACTAAGAAAATATGTAAGATGAATGAACTGTTATGTAACTCTCTTGCTGTTTACAGTGTGAGGTTTTCACCAAAATCTATGGCTCCCGACTGCAGAAGGTTTTGGGAAACCAGATGGGCGGTCCACATGCTTGTGAAGTGAGAACACGCTCTTTTGAAAAAAACATTCACATGCACCAGTACAATGACCTATCATCACAGGACGGCCAAAGAGTAAACTTTTATATCCACAAGTCTTCTCACAGCAAAACATAGGATTTGTCTGCAGTAAATGTTATATCAACAATACGCACCTTCACCGGGGTTGAAATTAGCGCTGTGACTGATGTAAATTTTACCACCACTTGCAGCAGCACGCTCCATTTTGTGATTTACTAATAAAATTTGCAACAGTATGATGGGCTCTTGTCCGCGTTAACGCCAATCATAAACACGGTGGAGCAACTTTAAATACTCATGAAAACATATTCTTTGATCCGGTGAATTTTCTCAGGATCTTTTGTCCCTTCTATCCTGCAGAGAGCTGATCTGTGCGTTGCCTCAAAGAAGTTGGAGCCGCTGGGAATGAATCGTTGTACTTGGGGACCAAGCTACTGGTGCAAAGACATTCAAACTGCTCAAAAGTGTGGTGTAAGTTTAAATAATTACTGCCAGTTTAGCTGATATAAGTGATGCACAGGTCAGTCCCATCATCTGAAAATTACAGTGTACAACATGTGCAGTGCTTTTCAATTAAACCTTTTTTTTGCCATTTACAACATCTCACGAGATGGTATTTTACAACCGTCAAACCTGACCCAGGCTTTACTCCTCTACATGATTTGATAAACTCCAGCCCACTTTAATGGCTGCTCTTCCAACTCTCTTTTGGAGAAATTGTAGGCTATTGATTCATTGCCATCAACCTGCACCGTACTACTTTAGATTAGATCCAACATTATTGTTTGAGTACAACGAAATGCAGTTTAGCGACCAAACACAGTTTAAAGTACTAATGTGATGTTTGTGAATAATTTCTGTTTCACATCTTGTTTCTGTGTTTATATCTGCAGAACCAGGCCTTCTGTGAGAAATACATGTGGAAGGAGTGAAACTGTCAGCCTGCAGCTATGAAAAATAGGTGCAAACAACTACTTTCTTTTAATGAATGTATTAGTACAATGTTTTTCTTTTTATTACTTTTTGGGGAAATGATGCCATTTCAGTCAATCAGCCAAATATATTCCTCATCAAATATTCTGATTTGCATGGTGTTATAAGACTGAGGCTGGAATTCAGTCTGAAACATTGATTTCTGCAGGGTGTAACAGTTTTGTGAACAGTGTTAGTACAGAAAACGTGGTCCATCATTACATAAGATGAACTCTCAGTATGTATTAAAGACAACTGGCTACTCAACTAAAGCTGCAGAACTGCTTCTTCTGTTATTGTTGCCGTCTTATGATCCCTGGTGCAAATGATCACATACACATGACAAACTCCTGAAACTAAATTAAAATAAAAAGTGTCATTAAAAGTCAACAAACTGACAGACACGTGTCCTGGAGCTTGTTTATTTAGAAACATCCACATAGTAAAGATAAAACACTGGAGAAAAAAAAGACTCTTTTTGTGGCCATTAGTCCTGATGCTCTTACGCCACTCTCATTCTATATTCTGTTATTTCCAATCACTTAAATATCCAGTTCATTTCCAAAATGGTGAACACGTTTCTGGCCATTCACACTGAGGAAAAAATCCTGCCTCGCTTACACCCCTGTGTGGTTGTTTGTGTCACTGTCACTCTCTTGTCTCTTCCAGATCTAGGAGAAAGGGGGGGACGGGGACATTTGTTACTAAAATAAGTACAATACAAATCTAGGACTCCTTTTTAGGTTCAAAGGCCATTTTTACTTTACAATGATTTTAAACTGCATTCTGTTATGAAATAAGATTCAGTTGATATAGTTTTTGAAAGCTCTTTGTTCTGAAACTCTTAATACTGGCAGTGGGCAAAGCCTCTGAAACTGCCAGATAACATAATTAGATATGAATTACATGAATATCTTTACAAAAACGTCATCACAACAGTTAAAATTTATATATGAAGAATAAAAATTATTTGCAGATTTAATGTTTCATGTTGCACCAAAAGGTACGCAGCCAAGGCTCTTCCTTTTCCAACATGCACAGAATGAGTAGGAGGACTTGCCTGGATGTAGGCTTCCGACAGTGTAATCATCTGGGGAAGAATATCAGTCACCTGCAGGTCCTGCATCTCATACCACTTTCCAGTTCCCTGATTAAACAAAGAGAGATGACGCATAACTTAATACATTTGTTAACGTTGTTAAGGTAGTAATGTCACCAGAAATCAGAAATATCAGGCTGCAACCTACATGATGCAGAACATGTATTCTGTAAGCTCCCTCAGTGGGTTTCCCATCATGCACTACATTGGCGACAAGGTCATACGTTGTGTTCTTCTCTGTAGCTTGAGCTTCTTCTGTGAGGTACTCACGAAGGTCTACATTCCTGTTGAAGCAAATACAAAGTGACAACATGCATTTATACTGAGGACAAAATACACTCGTTCATTGCTGTTATCAACATGCACACCATGGTTCTGTCAGGCACTTCGATCGCAGCTACATATTTCGTCTTATTACCATACTTACGTGATAGGGAAGTTGACAATTGTGGGGTTCTTTTCTACAAAGAAGTTGTTCTTGGTGAATCTTTTGATGCAAAAGACGAGGTACGGGGGCAGTTTGGTCAGCTGGAACCTTTTGAGAAAATTCTCTTTGTAGGTTTTGTATTCCTGAATGTAAATGAGACAGGAACAGTGCACACAGATATTTAGAGTTCTCAATAATCTGCTAAATTAGCTGCGTTAATTACGTTGTATTGTTTTTGGTGCGACTATGTCAAAATGTAATCATCCAGTTTTGGGCCAAATGATCTTCATCAACACCAAAGCTTTTCTGTTGATACAAGAACATGTGAACGAATCGGTACCTTCTCTGTGTTGCCATTGAACTTGCCCAGGATGTTGAAGAGAGGGACCTGCGGGATAATAAGCTGCTCCTTTTCATCCTTGTACAGTGGCGCTGTTGGGAGGTCAAGGGTCAGAAACAGGAAGGTAGACTCAGACATCTGCTCCTGGTACTCCTCTGTCACAAGCAATGCCTCTTTCTCTTCTGGTAGCTGAAAAAAATAGCATACACCATTAAGTAAACCATTCACTGTTCCACTAGTTTGATTTGAGGGCATGCGGAAATAGAGAATATTCTTTCTCCCCTTTGAACAACATTACCTCCCTCAGTCACTTTAAGTCATTTCTTTTCCACCTGATGTTTAGTTCCAAGTATTTAACATTATGATAGACACCTCAAAATCAAGCTTAATCAGAGAAAGTTTTATGTTAAATAATGTGCTAACATCAGCTTTGATGTAACTAAATTTTGACAAGATGATGATGATGATCGTGGAGAACAAGCAGGAAACTCACTAAATCTGGATGTGGAAGTTTCTTGGAGAAGATCCGCATGGAGCCTTGAAATGCTTTTGTAATGATTGCTATGAGGACACAAAGACAAGTGAGGACAGAGGTGTATTTGCATTTTTCTAACAATAATATATGAAACATTTTACATGCTCAAAATTTTCCACTCTAAAATAAAAAAGTAGAAATGTAATTCACATTTAATATAAAACAGGATTCCTGTTTTTTGGCTTTGACAAATTTACCATTAATGTGCTAAATACCTATCTGAATATCACATTAAAGACTTTATTTGCATATATTAACAATTATAATTATAATAGAACAATTAATTCTAACAATTATGAACCAAACCTCTTTGCTTCTCCTACTCACAAGGTTTTTTCTTTGTGCCTCCAAGAGCACCATGCAGGGCATTCAAGAACCACGTCATGAAGTCCACAGCATCTCCTGCAGAGCAGAAAACAATCTACATCTATCTAAAAGCCTACATGAGATCTGCACTATGCAGTATAGTACATTAATAAAGTTTCTGCCAACTAAAGCATTACCTTGCTTGGTAATTTGGAAGTTCTTCTTGCTGCACAGCACCACTGCCTGCAGCATCTCATGGGGAGAAACATGGGCCTTGAAGTTTCTCGGATTCCAAAGTTTACGCATCAGCTCACCAAACCTCTGCACCAAGAGGAACATGATGTCTCCCGGTGGTCTGCGGATTCCCCTGTAGTTTTCCTCCTCCAGGAAGTAGTTTCGCAAAGGCGGAACATTGGAAAACGCCTATGGAGAAGAGGCAAATGTGAAATGCTTGAGATTATTTGCAATGTTTATGACCAAGTCCAGATAAGGTCCACTGTAGCAGTTATTTATACCTGTAACACCACATTGGCGTAGTCATTGGCTTTGATGTTGTTGAGCCCTACGATGCCTGGCAGGTAGGTCGTACCATCGTAGGCTCGGTACAGTTTACCCTGCTTGTCCAGCCCTGCTATGTGCTGCTTGGTGAAAGTTGGCTTCAACACATACTGTAGAGAAAGTGAGAAACAAACACTAAGTTCAGTCAGTTAGCACCTAGATATTGTGCTATAATGCTATAAAATATATAGCTTTATAATCCAACATAGGGCTTGGCGATATGGCCAAAAATGTTATCACGCTAAAAAATTTCATATCATTCAGTATCGATAATTACCACGATAAATGTCAAATTATTATTTCTTTCCATTTTAAAGGCTGATTTTAGTTCTGAAAGTTTAAACTACTCTTTATGCTAAGAACATGACAAACACTTGCCAAACAGTGGATCACTTAACAAATCTGAGGTAGAACATTTAAAAGAATTATGAAAAAATCTTTTTTTTAACAAATATGCATAAGTAAAATTAAGTCAAATCATTTTTCTATCCATCTTCAACCTCTTGTCCAGGATCTGGTCCCTTTTCCTCAACAAAAGAAATATTTTAGTAGAAAAATTAAGTGCATTTTCATTCATGTTTCAAATTAATTAAATCAAAAATGTATTGGACAATGATATTGTGACGATCATCATTATTGTTTAAGGCCCGCCCTAACACAATGGCAATCTTGTATTAATAATTTCAGTCAAGTCTCAACTCTAGCTTTAACACCATGACTTTACTTACCGTGATGTCTTCTAGTGAAGAGTCAATGATCTCATAGTTGTCTGGCAGACAGTAAAACTTGAGTGTGTGCAGATTCAGGAACACATGATGGGTAAACTGCACACTGTGAGTGTAAGCATGGGACTTCAGACCTCTACCTACAAGCATACATGAGAAAATCAGTCCAAAAACAATGTGTTTGATCACATTGAAATGTTTGAAATGTCAGATAATTCACCTACCTTGAAAGTATTTCCCACATATAAGGCAGGCGTAGACATTGATGTGCGAAAGAGAGATGGAGCAGAGTTTCTCAAAGTCAAAGTCCAGCACACTCCTAATGAATAAACAAACTGGAAGTCAGCTGCAGAGCTATAGAGGACCGGGCTAACTAGCATTTAGCCCTAACATTAGGTATGCACATTCAACTTTATCTTGCCTGTTTATGGTGTCGAGGTAAGGACAGTGGCGGCTTCTTCGGTCTTCCACTACACGTCCTCGGCATATTTTGGCTGCAACTGCAACATGAAATGAAACAAAACGAACTGAGTCAAAACTATATTATTTTCAAGCTGTTGAATGTAAGCTAGCAAAACACGCTAGCTAAACATGCTAGCTAACCTAGCGTTTAGTTGTTAGGAGATGATGGATTTGATACAGAGTGAACTGGAAGGACGGTCAACTAAAACCACACTGTAGAAATACTTGTTAACCCGCCTATATGTGACTGGATCGAACCGTGAACATTTAATCTGGCTTCTAGTAACGTTACTTGTTACATTACCGTTAGCTGCAGGCTAACCCAACGCAGGACAGACGTTAGAGGTAAATAAACGTACCTCCGTCTTCGTTGTCATCATCATCCACTTCAGCCTCTCTTTCCCGCTTCAGAGAAACCATGACAGCAGTTAACTCGCGATCTTAATTTCAAAACAACAGAGACGGAACAACTTTATTCGGACGAGATGAATGGGTCAAGCACCGTGCACATCGAGACCTCGAAACTCGCGGCGGTTGTATGGTTGTATGTCGCAACTACCAAATAGCAGACTAAAACCTAACCCGGAGTTTGAAGCTAACGCTAGGTAACGTTATACACAATGCCAAAAACAACGTGATAACTTGCTGGTTTTGTGACAGCATAACCTGATGTTTTTATTGAATGCTTTACAATTTTCTGTTCTGCTGTTTTAAAAATAAGCCTTCGCTTAAAAACAAGGTGAATCTTTAAACTATTATGCATTTGTAAACTCCGGGAGTGTTACAATAGGACAACAATTTACAATTAGCTAGCATGTAG